GCTGGATGAAGCTCATTGCCTTTCGGACAACATCGTCACGTTTTGTCGCCATCGCTCGTTCAACCCGATTTCGGTCGAACGAACAAGCCAACTGGCGACCGTGCAAGAGTTGGTTTCGATGAACCATGGCGTGTCGATGATTCCCACGATGGCCAAGAAGCTCGACTCCAGTCCTCGCCGCGTTTACCGATCGTTGCATGGAACGAAACCGATGCGGAAAATTGCGATGATCTGGAATCCGTATCGCTTCCAATGCAAATTAATCGATCGCTTCAAGGAACATGTGCGGCAATTCTCGAAGTCTTACAACGCGTTGGCTGACTAAGGGCCAGGGTCAGACTTTCCGTCGAAGAAGAAACGCTCGAATGCCCCGACGCAAACCAGCGTGATCATTGCCAAACCAATCGCCATTACGCCGAGTCCATAAAACCCCATGCCACACGCGAGTCCTGTTGCGGCGGCAACCCAGATAGAAGCAGCGGTCGTCAAACCGCGGACATCACCGCGTGATTCAATAATCGATCCGGCGCCCAGAAATCCAACACCTCCGATGATCCCGGATACAATCCGGAACAAATCGACCTCCAACCAGGAAGGCTCGTTTTGCCCGAGCGATTCGGTGTAGTGCAGTCCCGCAAGTACGAACGTGGCAGCACCGAGCGAAACCATCATGTGCGTCCGCAGCCCGGCGGGTTTCGCTTTCTTTTCCCGTTCCCAGCCGAGTGCCGCGCCGCACAGCGTTGCCAACAACAGCCGTACGAACGACTCGGCACTCCATGTCGATGCGATCGCAATCAGGGAAATGTCATTCATCGTGCTTCCTCGCAAGTGGCGTCCCTCAGGGATGAATAGCTACTTGTTTTGCAGCACAAGACATGCCGAACGCTCATCAAATCTTCACAATCTAAAATGCAGCGATTCGCGCATAAAAAAGGGCCTCCCGTNNTAGATGGTTTCGAGCAGCGATTTAAAGATCGCGGCCATTCCGCATTGCGCGGAGCTCTTCGCGGAGTTCGCGGACCTCTTGTTCCAAGTCGCGTACGCGTCGGCTGAGCGAATCGACTTGTTCCTGCGAAACCATTCCGGCCGGCATCTCACCACCTTCGACCGCCTCCAATGCGTTCTGCAACATTCGCAGAGCAGGGCGATCACCGTTGGCTCCTGGAGTACCGGGGCCGAGATCTCGGTCGTTCGGCGGTGGCAAGTCGCGTGGGTTGCCATAATAGAGTTGGGTCGATTCCATTCGATTGCCGTAATAGTAATTTACGGGAATCGTCCGATCAGCCGGGGAAGAGCGGACCATCTGGATCAATCCCACAGCATCATCCACGCGGCGGCCATCGTATGAAACAATCACAGCACCTACAGGAATGTTGGCTCGGTCAGCGACACTTCCGCGGCTAACGCTTTCGACATAAGCGCCGCGGCGTACCGATACGCCTGTCTGAGCACGAATTTGATCGGTCAACGGTACCACGCGCACTCCCAGAACGCGCGGCGCGTTATCAACCGGCGGTGGAAGCGGGTCGGCAGGCAGAGGCATTTCTTCTTCCACGCCTAACGGATCGTACGGAACCGGACGATCAGGGCGAGTTGGTCGTACAGGCACTTCAACCTCTTGGCTACCAAGCACCAGCGTCATTCCCACAGTCTTGCTGTTGTCCCGAATCGCTTTCACGACGATTCGATCGCCAGGCTTCTTTTCGTCCATCCAAGCGGCAAGTTCGTCGAGCGAACCGAACATCTTGCCATCGATCGACATGATGCGGTCACCTTGCTGCAGCCC